TACAGATTTTTAGATTTTGTTTTTAAGAGAGCTTGAGGTGATGTAAGGATTTTTACTTTACAAGGTTGAGGTCACACCGCTCTTGTAGTTGCGGCTCATCGCCGCTTGGTGTCGCTGTTTCACTGTGAGCTTCCTGTCAGGCGACCATAGCAGTGGAGCTCCGTACAGTCGACCGGCTCGAAGATTATTTTTATTCTTGTAGAAGTTTCGACAGAACATGTTGGAGTAGATTCGGCACCACTTAGGGGAGATTAGGGGACGATCTTCTCGCTCCTCTTCCGCCTCTCTGGGGACTTTCCGCTCGGACGACGTTATAAAAAGTTAGTTTCGCTTTCGCTCTGAACAGTGCGACACGTTTGGACGAAGCGTAAACAGGCTGCCGGCTCGGGAGAAGGAAAGGAAGGATTTGAGCTCGTCTCGGTTTAATTTCGGAGTCTTTTCGAGCTGTGGGACAAACCTCGTCACAGCAAACCTGCCTCGTGGAAAGTAAACCAGGTGAGTCCGTGGAGGTAATAACACCGGCTTCACCCAGCTAACAGCTAACAGCTCAGTACAGCTACAGACCCATACTAATAACTGTGATATGTGAGAGTGTTTTGGAGGCTTCTTCGTGTTTCTGTGTGCTGGGGGCATTAGCCATGAAGCTACTGGGGCTGTTTCAAAGAAATCAGCCGTGAAGGAGAAAATGAAAGTAAAGCAGAAGTGAAAGCAAAGTGTGGCTGTTGGCAGTGAAGGACATGAACACTGTGGGCACGATGTGAAGGTCGTTATTACATCTAGTGTGAGAGAGGATTAGGAAAACTTTCTGCCCACTAGTCATACAGATTCTGGTTTTCTCTTGTGCACACTGTGTGATACCAAACCACTCATTTTCATAAAGCTAGATGTTGATATGAGACAGACACTAAGCAGGGAAGTGTTGGGGTCAAACATTTATAAATCTAATGGATTATAAAGTAGTAAAGCTCCCAGGCTTTCAGATACTAAACACCTGTAGATCATCTTTCATATTGTTTGTTGAAGTGGCATCACTTTAAATGTGCACGTCGCACCTTTTCTGTGACGTATTTGTTGAACCTGACACGACAGGTAAAGCATGAAACAGATCACAGACCAGGGAATGCAAGTGATTCATATCAGTATTTATTGTTCGCAGCACAAAATTCATAAAATCACAATCCCATTTGTCAGAGCGGGGTCTAATCTATACCACTGAGACCGGCTGCACAAAAAGATGAAAACCACTGCGCTCTAAAACGCCTGCATATCAAGTAGTACTGCACTCGATTCACTCATTCCTACAAGCGTCACATTGAGTCTCAACGCTACCGGGGATCAAGGCTGGTTATTACTCACCGCCGATCTCAATGAGGAAGTTAGTGAAACAAACAAAACAATTAACAGAAATAGAAAAAAGGCGGTTCGTCCGCTCTCACACATTGCATCCCAGTTCTTTTCATCCAGGAGCCCTGCAAGGCCGAGCGGACTCACACAAACAAAACCTACAAACAACAACCAAGACAGTGCAATCTGGATGGATGATCACTGCCACGCCAGCATCTCACACGCAGCAGGAAATCCCTCGGCCCAGAACCATCACACACAAGCCTCGTGTCTCTCTGGCCTCACGCAGAAAACGGCCAGCACCGCCCATCCTCACCTGACTCACTTTATTGTTGCCTGCCCCAATCAGAGGCCGACAGCAGAGGACCACCAGGTGCCACTGGTTACATCCTGGTTCATTTAATTCATTTATAAACCCCGACACACCTGAACGGCTCATGTTGACAACTTTCAGCACACTCAGCACATTTCTGGGATTAACATCGCCGCGGTCGGAGAACTTGTTGAAATCTAGAAATCTATGCCCATAGATCGATAGATAGGTCGGATTCACACAAGTCTTTAGAGTCTGTAAGAATTCAGGCAAAGAAAAAAAACAACAAACCTGTCTAATTTCAGAGACACTCGTTACAGTTAACACAAATCCGACATGCTTGACCAGAAGCGTGCCGAGTAGTCAGAAGGATGACAGATCTAAATTGTAAAATCCAGCTCCAGTCAAACAAGTGACGGTGTTAAATATGAGGTGATAAAACCACACAGACAGATAAGATCAACGTTAATGATCCCTCTCTGGGGAAACCGACGTGTTACTGAAGCTAGACACAGATAAGGCATGAAAGAAGCAGGACGAGGATTATAAAAGTACAATAAGGCTAAAAATATAGATGTAATAAAAATAAAACGGCATGATGAGCTCATGTATAGATATGTTGAGGTGTATCATGATGAGTATACATATGAAGATGGAACAGAAAGACTTGATGAAACCGTACATGTCTTAATGAGGAATGGGATAAATTACTTGTTAGTTTTACATTTTACATCCTGAACCTCTTGTGTAAAGGCAACACTTCAGCTTCTTCATTCAGGATGTGTTTTGTATCCCTCACAATCTTCTGCATCTTTCCTGAGCAAAGATGTTCATCTAGAGATTGGAGGTAGTGATGACCTTCTTGTCTTTGCAGATCCTGTGCATTATGCAGAAAATGAGCTACTTCTTCCCGTTGCTCTGCGTGTGCCTGGACGTGTGCATGGTGCACGCTATCCGCCTGGCCCAGCTCTCCCCTCTCCTCCTCCCCCATCCTTTCATCACCCTGTGGGGAGGAGCGCTGACCAGGGCCTCCTTCCTCGTCCTCTTCGCCTTCACCTACCCTGGAAGCGCGCCCTGGATGAGGAGCTTCGAGGGGCTCCAGAGCGTCGGGGTGCTTTGCCTCCACTTCCCGGTGTACATCACTCTCCTCTGGGCCCTGGGGCAGTCCACCACGGAGAAGCTGTTCGGGTGGCACTCCTGGGAATGGGTGAGCGGCCTCTTTCCTAACACGTTTAGGTGTATTATGGGATGACAGATGCAGGCCCAGGATCAGACTCAAACCACAGCTTTTATTCTTGTGCTTCCAGTTCATCATCTGAAAGTTTGCATGCAAATGTAATCATGGTGAACCTGAAGACGAGTGTGTGATTAAATAATGTGTTTTTCTCAACTGGAGACGCCTGAAGCACAAAGTGATTTATTTCACATCATTAACTTGTCTATACAGTAGCTCTATATGGATGTGTTGCGTGTTATTGTTTTGCAGATGCTACAGGGTTATGTGGTGACGGTCGTGGCCTGGCTCTACTGGAGTCGGTACGTGTCATCCTGGCTGAAGAGGACGCCGTCCCGGAAGCCCACAGTGGACACGAGCACCCCTCTGAAGAGACTGATGGGATACATGCGGCCTTACGTCGGACGCTTTGTGGCCGTGCTGACTCTAGTGTTTCTCTCGTCTTATGGTACGTAAGGCAGCGCCTCGTTTTAGGGGAAGTTTGAGCAGTAATCTCGTGCAAAGTTCTGAACACTTCCATCTGTGTGGTAGCAGCTTCACTCCCATTTTAGAGACAAGTACGGCTTCATTTCAACTTAGTGTTTCTACTGTGGTGTTTTTGACATTTTAATACGACTAGTAGGCCGATAAGTCATCGTCATAAGTGAGTAAAATCAGTCGTAGCCCACTGATGTGTGCCTCCTGAAAGATCAGCATGTGAGACTGTGATCTGCTGCCCTCAGGTGAGATGGCGATGCCTCAGTACACGGGTCGTGTGGCTGATTGGATCCAAAATGAAGAAGCACCCGATGCATTCACAGAGGCCATCACAATGATGACACTAATGACTATTGCCAGGTAATGTACCTCATGTGGGTGTTCCAAAAATCTCATCTCAAGCCTTTACATACGTTCTCCTGTTACTAGCACAGAGTGATGTGGACACAAATTAGGAGATTGTGACTTTAAATAACAAAAATTGTTATTTAACAAAAAAAAAAGGGATTTAATATAAATCCAGATTTTTTATATTTGGCTGCCATCCTCATTAAAGCAGCATCTTTGTGCAGCAGTACTCTGCTCCCAGTGCTGCTGCACCACTTCCTCCCTCTACAGCTCCTCATGTAAACATGGTAACCGTCAGTGATGGACGCTGAATCTGTGTCCAAACAGCAACCACTCAACTTGAGTTTTATTTGGGGGAAGAAGGAGAAATCATGGGAAGCCATTATTCAGATAATAAAGCAGATCATTCATTCCTGGTGAAGGACTTTGGGTAATGATCTCTTTATAACACAACAGTAGCTTATTATGAACACGTTCAGAGTAGAAGTGGTCGTGTGATACTATACTTGTGTGGTTTGTAGTATTAATCTGTTCTCTGTTGTGTGTTTGCAGCGCTGTGCTTGAGTTTGTGTGCGACCTCATGTACAACGTCACCATGAGTCTCATACACACCGCGGTGCAGGGAGCCGTCTTCCAGGCTGTGCTGAAGCAGGAGATTGCTTTCTTTGATGCCACTAAAACCGGTAAATGATGTATACGCTGCACACATGGCCGACACAGCTCAAGGAGTGTGTACAGGAGATCATACACTTGTTTTGTTTTGATTTGTTTTTTTATTGTTCGCATGTATAATGTATGTTTTCATTTTTACGAATCTACCTGCTCATTCTTTGAGAACTTGTGGAGGCTAATGCACAGCTCTCGTTTCAGGTGAGCTCGTGTCCCGCATCACCACGGATACCAACGACATGAGCGAGGCGCTGAGTGAGAAACTGAGTCTTCTGATGTGGTACACGGCACGGTTCTGCTTCCTCGTGTTCTTCATGGTGAGGCAGTCCTGGAAAATGATGCTGCTCACTTGCATGGGACTGCCCATCATCTGGGTCATACCTAAACTCACCGGACACTTCCACCAGGTGATGCTCCACCTCCAATCAGATCAGTTTCATTAATAAGCAAATCAAACGCGGTCCATATTTGTAGAAAACGCTGCATCAAATTGTATTGTTTTCATCTGTGTTTCAGACTATTGCTGTAAAGGTTCAGGAGTCTTTGGCTAAGGCCAACCAGGTGGCCACAGAGACATTTTCCAACATGAAGACGGTGAGGAGTTTTGCCAATGAGGACGGTGAGACAGAGAGGTACAGACAGCAGATGGAGGCCACCTACGCCCTGAATAAGAAGGAGTCAGCAGCCTATGCAGCTTCGACCTGGGCCAACAGCGTGAGTTGAATACTGACCTGCCTGCAGGTTACTGACGGAGCATTTTAAAACCTGCTTGTGTTTATCGCCTCCCACCATGTCAGCTTTTCAGCTAGAAAATGTAAAGAAAATACACAGAAAATGAAATGCAGTACGGAGTTTTAAATGCATCCCTCTGAACCCCAAACATTGTCTGGGTATTTTTATTTGCTCTTGAATAAAAAACGCGCCACTCTTTCCCCCAGATGACCACTTTAGCCCTGAAGCTGTGCATTCTGTACTACGGGGGGACGCTTGTGACCAGGGGGGCTGTGAGCAGCGGAGATCTGGTGTCGTTTGTCCTCTACGAGCTACAGTTTGCGTCTTCTGTTGAGGTGAGCCACGGCTTTATTCTAAGCATACATGCATGCATCCTTTTACTCCTTCCTTACTGACTGCCACGTCTCTTCCAGGCTGTCATGCGTTATTACCCAGAAGTGAAAAAAGCAATCGGAGCCTCTGAGAAGATCTTTGAATATTTGGATCGGAAACCTCAGATACCCCCAGAGGGCAAGTTGGAGCCTAAAAACCTTAAAGGACACATTCAGTTCAGGAATGTTCAATTTTCCTATTCTGGAAAGACAGACGACAAGAATCTTGTGCTTAAGGTGTGAATCTTTTTCTTCTGTGCATTTATTACATCCACAGTTCATTGTTTAAATACTAAGTGGTGTTACATACACCTCTCCTCCACCAGGATGTGTCTCTGGAGGTAAAGCCAGGCCAGATCACTGCCCTCGTGGGACTTAACAGATCAGGGAAGTCCACCTGCGTCAAACTACTGGAGAGGTTTTACCAGCCACAGTCTGGGCAGATCCTGCTGGACGGAGAACCACTGCAAAGCTACAAAGACCAGTATCTGCATGACAAGGTGGGTGGTCACCAGGCAGCTATTGGAGTTAGGATGGCGTGGACCAGTCGTTTCATGACTGGGTCCTTTTTTTTTGTATTGTTCATGCTTACAAGGACAGGTGAGCATGTAGGAAACACACATTCATATACATACACACAAGCATCATCCATGTCATTATTGGGAATTGTGTGGATCTAAAGAATTTTTAGAAACATCATGTTATAAATACCCATCACTTTAACACAGTTGTTCAAACTGAGTTGTAGCAGGGACAGGATTAAGGTGTCCTGCATTGAGGGGTTTGACAGGATACTTGTGCAGCTTTACTTCTCTTCAAACATAAAAAAACTAATAAATCAAAACAAAAAAAGTCAATTCTTATTTTTATTTATATTATATATATGTTTTGATGTTTTTATTGAAGTTACTTGAACATTGTGGCTATAATAATCAATATTAAATAAAACAGTTTGTTATAGAAAGGTGTTTTCTCAGTATAATCTCATCTCTTAGGTTTTTCATTTGTGCATTAAAATCACCAAAGTTGTCTATCAGAGGAGAATGCCCCTGAACCTCCTCACCTCGTGTCAGATTCGTGTGCCGTCCCCTTTTTCACAGCTCGAAAGTTTGTAGGTAGAAACAATAATGAGCCTTGAATCGTAGCAGTCTGTCTGCTGAGGTGGTAAAGAGGGTTTGGAAGCAACCGGTGAAATGTAGAATATAAACTTAACCGCACAGCGCAGCTTTAAAGGGGATTCTGGCCGCTAGTGGCAGAGCAGCTCACAAGCAAAACCACAGTAACAACTGTTAGGCTGCTGCCCTGAAACACGTCACTGTGTCTGCATCCACACTGATATGTTCTCATTTTCAAACATTCACACCTCGTATGCACACTACTCCTGCTATTTAAGAACACCTGAAATGGAGGCTTCTGGAAACACTACGAGGCCCTTTTATAAACTTTGGGATTACTGTTCTGTCCGGATGGGAATAAACTTTGACTTGTTAAAGGATGACGCCCGTACTTGCCCTCACTGTCGCTTCTCAGATTCATCACACTCCTGTCTTGTGATAGGAGGAAAACAAAGCCCTCAGCCTCGACTATCAGTGATTAATTCAACATGGATAATGAATCACAAGCATTACTGGCCTGTCTGTCTCTGCTAGCAGCTGCTGTAAAATTAAGGACATCTGTCGTCCTACTCATCTCCGTTGCTGTTCTTTCTCCAGTGTCTGTGTCTATGAGAGTATGTACAGAGATTAGTTATGAAATGGAGCTAATACTCTCTCTTTCTCACTGTGGATGTAGCTTGTAGTGCAAGTTCTGCACTCAGCTGATCGAGGTAACGCCTAATCATTTCTTATTTATGTTAATGAAAACACATTTCAGCTTTGAATTCCTATATCACCATGTACAAAAACAAAACAGCAGCAAACTCTGCAAGAAACGTTTTAGCCGTTCTTGGATGCTGAGGATGTTTGACGTGATTACGTTTCTCTATTTACCTCCGTTTTTAAGCACACAAAGGAACAAAGACCAAACCTTGACCTCTGTAGGTGAAATAAACTCAGAGGTCTATCAAGTCATCGTGCTGCAGGAATGGAGTGATGTTCAGGAACAACGTGACGTCTGCAGCTGAAAACATAAAATGGGAAAGAAATGCAATCAGCTGTAGTTGATGATGATTAAAGTGAAGATAAGTTCAGGCAAAGTTTCTTCTCAGATTCCTCCAAATGCCTGTTTATTATCCTTTTTTATCTCTTATCTAATCCTTCTTGTGTTATCACACGCTGCTCACACGAGTATTTTATTTGAACTCTTTGCTGAACTTTACTCTTTCGAGGCCTTTGTTGGTCACAGACACAGTTATACACGGTGTAACGCACAGTGAAATGTTCTGCTGTTGTCCTCATCGTGAACCATGCACAGATTCAGCTGAGACAGATTCTACAGCCGCTGATGTTTCCTCTTCTTTCTGTTTGCTCGTAGATGTCTGTGGTGAGCCAGGACTGTGTGCTGTTTGCTCGCTCCGTGCGGGAGAACATCAAGTATGGCTGCGAGGACATCTCTGATGAGAAGATGTTCAGGGCTGCCGAGCTGGCCAGCGCCCACGAGTTCATCACGGACCTGTCCAAAGGATACGACACAGGTCAGAAACTCAGCATGTGGTAGTGAGAATAATGAGAAGTAGTTAAAGAACCGAACACCACTTTGGCCTTTTAGTTTTGCCTATGCAGAAGATACTACTCTCTAAGGAAGACACAACAAATGGTCATCTTGTTGTACAGATGCTGGGGAGAAGGGAGGCCAAGTGTCTGGAGGTCAGAAGCAGCGCATATCCATCGCTAGAGCTCTGATCAGAAAACCTAAAATCCTGATCCTGGACACTGCCACCAGTGACTTGGACACAGAGAATGAACACCGGGTAAGAAATTCTTTGTCTCTCAGCCGATTTATGCTTTGTGTGTCGAGGTGAGCGGTGATGTGACCATCTACGTAGCTTACCCTGTATAGTAGCCGCATGTGTTGTCCACATTCAAAGTCTGCATTGGTCAGCACACAGTTGTTTTTCTTCATGTAGCTCTGAGTCTTGCTTGTCCTCCTCAGGTCTACCAGGCTTTGCTGAAGGAAACTGCTGCAGAGAACTGCTCCGTGCTGTTGATACCCAACAAGATGAGTGTTGCAGAGAAGGCCAATCACATAGTCGTGCTCAACAACGGGATGATAGAGGAGGAGGGCAGGCACGATGAGCTGATGGAGAAAGGCGGCCTTTATGCCGAGCTGGTGAAGAAGCAGAACACGAGCTTTCAACGACGAAAAGAGGACGGGACTGACGCACAATGACGCGTGTGAGCGGCAGTCCAAAGACAGGAAGGTTTCCAGGCTTCAAACTCAGGCTTCACTTGTACTATAAAGAACAACGTTCATGTGTGATGACACTTTATACTACAAGTGTTTGCTGAAGAGGTCAACCGATATGCTTTTGTCAGTGCTGACACCAGCATCCATTTACCCAACTAGTGTTGGGTACAGAAATTATAACACAAACTTTGTTGCAATGTCTGTGTTTATTTATATTTTATTTAAAAAAGGACTTCGGTTGACCCTTAGTTTGGCCCATTTACACTATTGCACCTTGAAAGTAGCTGAAGCTGCGCCTCCTCCAGAAATCCATAAAAATAAAGCAACCTTTCAATCAACATCAACCATCCAATTCTTCACTCAAAAAAAATCCATCATCTGTCACAGTGTAGTACCACTTCTTGTCAAAATCAATCAAGAGCATCCATCTATTCATCCATAACCTATAGCAGCGTAGCAGGGGGCTGGAGCCTATCTGGGCGAGAGGGATACCATGCAGACTCCACACAGGCCGAGCTGGCCAGCAGTGAGGCGACAGTGCTCGCCGCTGTTCCACGATTAGAGTAAATGACGAGACAGGAGTATTTATTTTTCGTTCACAAAAATCTGCCGCTCTGTGACGCTGTCTGGCTTATTGTTCAGCACATTCATCCAGAATGTTGCAACACATGCAGAGGTTCAGTATTAAAAGTGGAAGCACAGTCCTGTGAACAGCTTATTCATTCTGTCTCATGGTAGCTATGATCATATCACCCAACCCCAGGTCTTAGTGGGCAGCTTTCATGTCCGAGTAGGTGTGAATCTTCTTGAGAGTTTATAACCACTAGGATATTGCTTCATTCTCTTTATAAATGTAGGCGTAGAGGAGCTCAATCCGCTAGATTCTGTTATGTTTTCTATCACATGTCTATGTTTATGTCTATGTTTTCTCAACTATAGTTGAGACTGACAGTGTCTAAATGTTCTGGATCTACTCTTTGTATTTTCATGCTTGTGTTTTTTCCACAAGTTTTCTTTTATTAGTGATGTTTTACTTTTGATTGTTTCAGCTTGTTGGCGTTTGGTGACAATAAATGGTTTCCATGAATTTTGTCGTGCCTTTTTGATTTTCAGCTTGACAGCTGCTTTCAGACAGGGCTGCTCTGTGGGAAGATGAATTATGTGTGTTTTTGCATATTATATGTGGCCGCTAGAAATGTTGTTAATCCTCCTTTAATTGGATTGTAAGGCAATGGTAAGTGTGAGCAGTGAAGAGCACCATGCATATCTTTCTAAATGGGATTATTATTATCATTTGCACATTTTAGGATGTTCAAATTGAATTCTATGTAGTCCTGGGCAGTAATAATTTGCACATTTCTGCATACAGCCAATATTTGTTTTACTCTTAGAATTCATTGGATTTGCTATGCTTGCGGTTTATTTGACTGATAAGAGTTCATGTAAATTGATTTGCAACACTTGCTATATTTTTTAAATCGTACATCTTTAAAAAAAAAATCTGCATGTCAGTGTTTACTGATGTGCACCACATCACCGAGTCAGATGTGAAAATCTGCTGACAATGAATGATTGTAATATGCGCTGATCTGCGGTGACGCAAAGCAGATCTGTAGTTGTGAAGACTTTGGCGCTAAACTGTAAAATAAAAGCGATTTAACGCAGTGCGACGGGCGCATCCATTGTAACAGAGCATCAGAACCACGCATGTACTCAGAGTACAACATGTACAGACCTGTGCTACTGGGCGTGCGCTCTGTGTGACAGACGTCTGTTTACAGCCAATAGGAGCACAGAATCTGCGCCCACGTCACAGGAAATACGAGCCGCTGCCACGTGACGGGTTTATATAGCGACAAGCGGAAACGTTTAGGCGCCATTTCATTGCGGAGTTCATTCGGTGGAAGTGCAGCGTCAACAGCTGGTGAAAAAAATTGGACCGTGATAACACTCCGCCCTCAGCCCGATGGAAGCGGCCGTCAACCCGCCTCACGACAGGTAACGTCCGCTGCGCTTCACATCCAACGGAGGACATTTTAACAGCATCGCGGCGACCACGAACACGGCCTACCGTTAAATGTCATCTTGTTGCTACGGTTCTGTTACCGTTAGCCTCCCTGTAGCAACGCTAGCTCGCCAGCCAACGGGGGCTTATATGACACAGACGGATTTAGCTAGCTCTCTGTCACGGCACCGTGCTATCTCCCTGTTAACTGCTGAACTTTTAATGAACGACAGCTACATTTACACGCGCGTTTACACGAGGCCCCCGTCCTCTTTTGCAGTTTGTTAGCTGAGAGTCAGCAGGCGGATGACAGCTGCAGCCCCACCGGCTCGCTCCGCCGGCTGCTCCCCGCCGGCTTTCTGTCTGCCGGGTCATTCATCGCTCAGACACCCTGCCAGCGCTAACCTCGAGCCTCATGTAACTCAGTAACTGGTCATTAATTACGCGTCCAGCATCCACAAACAACATCAGCTAACCCGCGAGTTAGTATCCCCCGTAGGTTTGTTTGGCCATCTTTGCAGACCGGTGGGTGACGCTAGCTAGCTTAGCCTCCAGCTGCCATCTCCTGTCCTGGCGAGCTTGCACCTGTACGCTGTGGCCAAACGGCTGGCAGCGACTGACACGTTGGTTGTTTGATTCTGCATAAACCCGTGCTGAAAAATATAGATTTTGCGCCTTTATTTGACACAAATAAACAGGCGTGAGTGTTAATGGCGTCTGTCATTGTGCAGCAGTGTTTACAAACAGTGAGGGCGGGGCGTCCACACCACGCGAGCTCCAGCTGGTGGAGGTCCGACCGCTTGTTCACGGCTCTGGGCTCCTGGTGGAGAACGTTTTAGGACGTTAGCGTCTGGTGGCATTTTACAACAAGCAGAATTCTGTTCACTGCAGGTTTATAAAATAACAAAACCGCATTAGCCAAAGGAAGCTGTAACTGTTTACAAGTCAACAACAAACTCTTCCAGCCTGTAAGTATCAAGGTTGTGCTCATATGATCTGATGCTGTCACCTATAGTTTGTTTTGACTTTATAGTTTATTGGCTATAATCTAGCCGGTCATAACTCCATATAAGAAAAATGAAATGTTGTTGTTATTTCTTCGGCAAAGTGGCAGCACAACAGTCCTTCTGAAACTGCAAATTGAAACCATGCATTCATGCAGTCATTCTGAAACCATACACTGAGCAAAGTTTACTTTTCCTTTCATTTGTCCCTCATGATCAAGTCTAAACCTTGTGCTAAACAGATCCCACACACAGTAACTGCTTTGACACGTTTAAAGAATATTGCTTAGTTAAGTTTAACTGACAATCCAAAACATATGAGTTGTTCTACATGTGCGTGATGCTGATGAAAAGGCATTTCTTCCTGGGGTTGATGTTTTTTCTAACGGTTACTGCGGTTTGATTTGCAATAAAATGTTCTGTAGTCACTGTGCAGTAGTTTCAAACCAAGTGATAGAGCATGAAACACCAATAAGGGAAGATGGCATGAATTTTTAAAAACCACTGACAGATTAGTTCAAACCCTGGATCTGCACAATGTACGAGGTGTGGATATTGAATAATGAGTCTGGGCTGGTGTCCGAACGTGCCTGAACCTCGTAAACATTACACGGATAAACAAACACTAAAAGTTTCAATCCACTTGAATTTAATCAAAGTTAATTACAGCTTTCGTCTCATTGTTTAGCAGCCACGTCTCATCCGTCCTGAATTACAGCCTATTTGCTAATTGCATTGTTTTAATTTGCAATTTCAAGTTGTTGTCATTTAATTTTTAAATCATTTCACTTTTGCAGACTTTAGGTAGGCCAGTCATTCTGTGTGGTAGAGTAAGCAAACTTTTCCTGACATTTTTATTGCTGGCATTTGGCCCTCAGCTTAGTTTTAGTCCCTTCAGTTATTCATTGAGCTGATATGACTTGAACCAGTTAGTTTCAGAAAAAATTACAAATGACTGAAGGACATATGTTCTGACTTACAAGAATGTAACTATAGCAACAAGGAATTTCTCCCTATTATTGTTTTAGTTCCTTTGCTGTTCAGTTACTTCAAAAAGCTCAAATAAGTAGGCCTCCAATACATTTGACTGAATATTTTAATGTGACTGTATTCACTGCACAATGACTCTTGTTGTTCTCAGCGCTAATGCTATTTGGTCTTTCTTTGTGTTGCCGGCCGGGATTCTGACTGATGCAGGAAATCAGCTCACAGGCTTTGCCACGAATTGTGTGTCAGTAGGGCAAGTGCATGTGTCCCAAACTAGGGTGAGATTTAACTTCTTCTAAATTTGGTCCGTGTGCTTTGCCAAGAGGGAGGTGAGACGGGGATGATATGGGCTTCGTCTGTCTGCATTGAACCGATCGTCTTGAAGTGGCGTGTCCTGTTGGATTGCAACCAAAACTGAAGATCATGCAACTTGTAAAGCATGTTGAGATCTGTTGTTTTACTTAACTCTCCCAAGGCCTTTGGGGAATATTTGTGCATTTGCCCCATTTGTAATGCTCACTGTAGAGCAGAGGGACGCTACAGGGCGGAGCGCTGTGCCTCAGTCAAGGCCATTAGTTGGAGTGTCCTTAGTTGTGTTTGTGAAGAAACTAGAGGACACACATTTAAACCTATTGTTAAAGTATTTATCCTTTCTTTACTGGTGTTTATTTATGGCATTGTGACATTTCTTTCCAAAGAGCATAGTTAACCATTTGAGGTTTATCAAGCTGAATGCATGTCTAGTATAACAACTAAGGGTTATTATCTCTTATTAAATCTTGCAGCAGTTCCTCTAAAATAACTGTAAGCTTTATCAGAACCTGTCTAAACAGTTTAGGCAAACACTGACCATGATAACCTTTTGATAAGGTAGGGCTTATTGTGCTGCATTAGTTTTGTCTGCTGGTTGTTGTACCTAATAAGCTGGTATGTGTGCGTTAATGCTG